AACAGCTGAAATCCAAAGCAACCACGTGACGTTCTGCAGCTCAACGTGCAGGTCTCCCCATAATCCATGTCCATGCAGGCATCGCCATCCTTTTACGAAAATGTGCATGGCAGCTCCCAAGCCAAACAACTCAATCAAAGGCACCCCATTGACCATGCAAGACATGCGGCCACCATGCAGCTTGTCATGTTCAAGTCCGCACACCTCAAAGTCAGGGCAATGCTCAGCAACATCCAGCACTGCTCCAGTTCGACTCAGATCGCTGTAGCTTCACATTTGCGCAGGCAGGGTACGGTTGTAGTTTTTCGCAGCCACCGAAATCCAGTTTCCATTCGCAGGCGATGTTGGTGGTGCAATTTACCTTGCTACGTCAAACCATCCGCTTGCGCAACTAGTCTGCAGGACATCTGCGGCCCCACATCACGAGTGTTGCACTTGGATGTACTCAGAATGTTCGGGCCTCCGCGGGGCTGCGGTAGCCGACGTCGCAAAACCACTCCTGCGCTTGTCACACGTGCCATAAGCACAGTAGGAAGTGGATGTTTCTTTGCACAAGCAGCATGCAACCACCTTGGAATCCGGTTGCCAAACGAAGCCAGGCCTTGCACCACTGAAGCAAGGAAGCTGCAGCAAGAATTGCGCACCATTTGCTTTCCAAGGGACGGAATGGGCTGTCCAACTGGGGCGGGGCACGCGTGTGTGCAATCAGGTAGTACATACTGCGGCTCCTCCAAATCCCACCAGTCTTCATCAAGCTGGCCATCCCACAGCACAAAGCTTGAGCCTGACCCTCTTGGTTGTTGTCGATTGGGCACTCTGCTAGGGTAGGGACGCCGTCAAAGGGAACCTAAGGCCAAAGGGAACCTACATCTCAAAGCACTTGTTTCATCAGGACGTCACGAGCATCAAAAGTGCTTAGATGCGAGCATTGCAGAAGATTAAGCCGGAGGAGCCAGGCCTTCAGATCGAGCCCCCGAAAGCCCGAACTCCTTGAGCGCAGATTTTAGTCTGAGAGCCGCTCGTTAAGTTTGCGGCCAGCGTCGTGTTGTAGGTACAGTCCTTCCTTGGTCTCATCTGGATGGCAAACGGCAACAATGCTTGGTAAAGGGTTTTGCTTGGGATCTGGCACAGTCGGCTGGACGCAGGGTGTCAGCGGAAAGCAGCCAAGGAAAGTTGCCTGCATAGATCATTTAAGAATTCAAGGTGCCGGCGGCAACAACACATCAAAGGACTGATTTTGCTGTGCAGTTGCGTCACGAAGAGGCATATGGACATGGCGGCTGCGCACGACAGCTTCTACAGGCATGACAGTTTCCTCTCACATTTTAGCATTACTAGCTGGGCATAGACAGGGCAGCAGTGCCAATTTTACCATCTGAAGCGACCTCAACTGATTTTCCCAGCCTCTGGGATACATCGCGCGGAGTTGGGGCTGGCCAGTCGAAGCGCACATCGCCGAATCTAGGTGGAAGTTGATCCAAGAAACACGTGCCAAATTCATACTTAAAGCTGCTGACATTTCCTTCAGCATTCTTCCCGAACTGAAGTTACTCGGAGTAGATTGGATGATGTGTCTGCAAAGCACTGCTCTCGAGTAGGCCCCCGACAGCGGTTCCAGCATAGCCAGGTGCGCAAACCCAGTTTCCAGTTTGGTCATCAAAGGCGTAACCTCGAGGCTGTCTCAAAATCAACTTGCCCTGCTAGGATTATTAGCTTCTCAAGGCCTTTGCTTACTGCCTACTCTATATATATATATATGATATATATATATATGCTGATAGAAACGTGTATATACATAATTACGTAGGTCAAGGCCTTTGCTTGAACAACTTGATAGTACCCAGCTCCTATGAGTTGCCTTCAGCGGCCCCCGGGTGCCGGACCAGCTGGCCATGAAGGCGGATCTGGGCATGATTCCTGCGAGCTGGGAGTTTCCCAAATAGGGATAATACAGGGATCATGGAAAAGAAAATGAAAACTACTATTGAGGGTTCAGGGTTTCCAAAAATTAGGGGTACCTTTTGGGGGTCCCCGTAGTAAGGATTGAAATATTTTGTGGTCTGTTTGCGTAACCCGAAGACACCCTGAAATTTGGTGTCAGGGCGGTGAGTCAGCCGCCTGGCCGAAATGGAGGTATACGGTATACAGGGGAACGTAAAACAATCTGGAAACTACCGTGTTATTATCCAGAAGCAAATGGAAACTTGGAGCTGACGGATGATACATGGCTTGCAGCACCCTGTGGCTTTCATGCATCTGTCCGCGGGATTCCAGGTGCAAACTGGTCGAACTGGTAGCTCTGCGCGCCCCTCCAGTTCAGTGTTGTTGATCGAGCAGATGGCTGGCCTGTCCAGGTCCCCAGGTCCACCGTCAGGGAAAATAATGTGGAGGTTTCCCGAAATTTGACGTAACTCTTTTGGGGGTCCCCATAATGAGGAGTATAATATGTTGGGGTCAAAATTGGGGCCCTCCTATCCATGGAAACTACCATGTAGAGGCCTTGGGGCCCGCGTCACGCTTGAAAGCTTCACCAACCTAGTCTTCTTGCCCAGCATGACCAATCCCACAATCTGAGTTGCTGCTAAGGAACTTAACTCAAGTCACCCTAATCTGGGTATGTAGTATGTCATCCTGTTTCCTATTATAATGGTATCTTAATCTAAGTCTTTAACAGCAATTCAGACAACAATGAAGTTGGGGATTGGATGTTTTGCAAAGCACCCATCATTCGAATCATTGTCTACTTCGAACAACCCAAACCCAAAACCCATTTTGGGATTGGGCACTTCAGGCACCCCTCAATTGGGCACTGCAGCACGGGCCTGAAGTATTTTGGGGTTGGGAACAGAAGGGCTGTTCTGAGGTTGGACGCTGCAGGGGTATTTTGCGGATGGGAACTGCAGGCAGGAAGACTTGGGGGTTGTGCGCGGCATATTCTGGGATTGGGCAAGGCAAAGTTTGAGAGTGGGGGGAGACTGGGGGGAGACTGGGGGAATGCCCCGCAGTTGTGCACTGCAGGGATGCTTTGCGGTTGGGCACTGCAGGGATGCTCTGCCATTGGGGGCTGCTGGGATACTGTGCAGACACTCTGCGGTTGGGCACTGCTGGGATGCTCGGCGGTTGGATTCTCACTGCACGGCGGGTGAGAACAACATAAACTTCTTTAATCTAACATAATCTAACAACCCCCTGTGAGGGTTCGGAACTACAAAAGTGTTCCCTGACCAAATGTAGTACTGCTTAATCTAGGCTGAACCGCTTTCGCATCATGCTACTTAAGACACTGAAAAGAACCTTCAAAGCAGGGAGGGCGGCGAACAGCAAAGTTTCATTGCTGCTGGATTCTGGATGTAAACGCACTTTAAGTAGCGAAAACATTTGCATGCGACATGGTGTTCTTCGAATTTCCATGCCACTTTACGTGAGCGAACATTTCGAAAAGAAATGCTTGATAATGCCAATATTATGACATCTGCAGCACTGTGCTTTACAGCTGCAATACTGCTATGTTCGTGATCATGCAACGCTCGCATTGGCCGATCTTTTCTAGCCTTCACGGTCTTCCTTAGTCATGCCGTGCTGCAAATAGTAACATGTTGCACGACGATAAACGAATTTGCCCGACATGCAACCAACAAAATTCGATCCTTCTTGCGGAGGCGGTGAAAAAATAGAGGAAAGCGGGATGTGACTGCAACTTGGCAGTACCGCAATTCCGGCCAGGGTTGTGTCACGCTTCGTGGGACATAGATTGACATTACAGCAGCATGGCCTGAAGCTGCCAATGTAGTATGGCCCCGAACAGCGTACCATGCACTGTGCACCAGCAGCGACACCTCCAAAGACCCGCGGGTTCATCTCAAGAATAGCTTAATCTTCGCGATAACCAATTCCCAGAATTTGGGGTACCTGACTGGGGGTCCCCATAGTAAGGATTATAGTATTTCGGGGTCTATACCAGGGTCCCCCTAACTATGGAAACTGTAGGTCAAAACGCGACAGGGATGCATACTGCATGGCATGCATATGTCGCAGATCTGTGGGATAACAGCATGTGATCGGCGTGTGCACATTTGCATGAAGTGCCTTCGCACTCGGAGACATCAAACAGACAGGGCGCATCGTCGATAGCAGGAGGTAGGCAGGGCCTGACTGGGATGTTAACAGCATGCGGATTCCAGGACTTGCGTGACTTTGTCTCCTTTGCTTGGGTTCGCAGATGCAATCACAGCTGCAGCTAAAGAAAACTCTATGAATTCTAGCCCACTCTTCTTGAGATCAGTGCTGTCGCTGAGCGCATCCAGTGAGGGTCAGCTGGTCCTGCGATGCCAAATCCATGCAGGTATTCTTTTGATCGTTGCTGTGATGCTGTGTAACCAGGCGGCACCAATGCTTTCAGTAGCACTGCCCCACTGCTTCAGCTTGAAAGATCAGAAGTCTGAAAAAATGGTCCGAGCACACGAGACCGGCCATGCAGAGAGGCACCACCTTCCCATCAAAGGTCCAACTTTTGATACTGATGTTACATGAGGGTTTCTCAAAGACACAGCTACTGTAAGGACCGCAAGGACTGCAGGGATACAGCAACCATAAGGGGAGTCTAAGAGTCCTTATTAATTCTTATTAGGATAAGTCACACGTACACTCGAGGCACTCTGCCTCGCCAGCGAAGCCTTCAGCACATCGCCATTCCCCATCAGCCCCCTGTAGAGCGGAAGCACATGGGGCGTTGTGCAGGTGGTCTAGTCTCTTGTGCTAGGTCCTTTGCATATTCTAGTTTAAGGATTATCTAAACATGTTTGGGGAACCTAGCAGGCCCTTATCGGTCCTTCTCACTCACTCACTTAATTTGAGGCCGCCTTAGCATAGCCACCATTTCGGTCCGTAGGATCGCAGTCGAAGGAGCAGTTCGGAAGAATGCCCTGCCGAGGTGTAGAATGTAGCTGCAACACCAACGACTTCTGCAAACTACAAAAAATAGCGGGAATGAGTTCTGCTTTCTACTGATTCGCAAAGAATGCAGCACTGGATGTGGGACGTAGGACTGGGGCGGCCTGCAGTGGCAGCTGTGCGTTGAGGTTCGAGGCTGGACAGATCAGCGTCTGCTGGCCCTCCTGTAGAGTTGGGAGTGGATGGGAACTGGAAAGAGAACAGTCAAGGCTTTAAAGATACCTGCGAGTAAGCCCATGCCAGGCTCAGATACACTTTACGAAAGGATTGCGAAAAGGAATGTAGGCCACTTGAAGCAATCAATGGGATCTGGACTGCGAGCAGAGCTGCTGGTGAGGAACATGGAGGTCTGCAGCTGACCTGAGATGAGCTCCAGATGCACAGAAGCTTCTGCTCTGGTCTTGTTAGCCAAGATACGGTACAGCTCCCTCCTGGTCCGCGGCCAAAGTTTGCCTGAGGGAAGGTCGGATCCTCCGCCAGGCAGGCCTCTTCAAGTCAGGATGCGTTGCGTCTACAGTATTGACGACTGTCGGCTGCGAGTTGCATCCACTCTGCCTGAGGGAATACGTCAAAGAAGCATCCGCCGGTAGTGTTGGAGGGCCTGAGTCAAGCGCTGCCTAACTTCAAGTCGAGTGATGGGAACTATTGGGCCTGCAATGTGGGCTCTGGGTTTTTTTAAGGGGCCTTCTTTTCAAGAAAGCTGCGCATGTGGCAGCGCACCTGCGGAGCACGTCCAGCTCGAACGCACGTCTCTGGGTGCCTGGCACTCCCACACAGGGAGAGCTCTGTCCGCACCCTGACAAAGCCACACCAAACGTACAGTCCTGAAATTGCACCAACTCCATTGCTTCTGCACAACGTGTGGAATACCAGACTTCCCCTTGCACCCGCTGTCCTCGGTACTTGTAACGCACTCCTTAGCTTGGCAATTAGCTTGGACACAACTGCCAGGGCAACCCTGTTTCCGTTTTGACGCTGCCGACGATGACTTGCTTGACAAGAGTCTGCCTGAGCCGTCCCAAACCATCCGTCCAGACAAACATAGCTCCCATTCGAGTAATTGTAGCCGTCCGGCAAGACCTGGCCGGTCCAAAGCCAAGTCCAACGAAGGCGCTCCCAAGACTCAGCCCAGCTGGGCCTCCTGTACCGGGCAGCGCAGCTCACAGCTGGGAGGAGTAAAGTCCTTGGCGCACTTCAACCTAAAATCGTCTATCAAATGCAAAGCTCTAGTTAAGGCCTGCACCACAACTCGGAGAGGATCAAGGTTGCCATAAGGACAAGACGCATTCACGGGAGTGCCCTGCACAAGGCTGATTTGCATTTCGTGGCTCTTCATTGTATCTGCGCAGTTGAAATTCTAAAAAGGCGACCTCCCTCACATATCACCATGCTCTGGCCTCATATGGCGGACTCCTGCATCGTAGCGAGCAATTGGTGCCACCTATCACCTGGCGGCAAGCGTACAGGCCAGTCCGCACACGACAGTCCAGTCCCTGCAATCCGGAAACTTCAAGACAGCATGGCATTCAGGCAGTCAGACACGTCGTAGATGCACCTTCAAGCGCGCGAGGCCATAGTGTCAGCGTCTCAAGTTGTAAGATCCAGTGGACAACTGATGACAACTGACCCACCTAGACCCTGCAGCTAAGACCCCGCTCCTGCAAGCTCTGAAAGATACAAATGAGCATGGGGCTGATCCAGCGTTGGAGGTTGGCAGGAGGCCATTGGATCACAGCCTTTGAGCTCCACGCGGGCCTTGGAGATTCACGTTGTGTCCCAGATTGTGAGGGCAGAGGAGAATGGTTTTCGGCGGAAAATGTTGAGGTACATGGGGATAACAACGTTTAGGGATATACAATGGAAAATGAAATGGAAACTGGGATTATGTAGTGGGCCTGACCTGATGCCTTCAAGCTTCGGCACTGCAAGTAGGCTTCGAGCCACACAAACCACCGTCCGCGTCGTGCTGCTGAAGATCGAGTCGACCTAGGCTCGAGCATCATTCACCAAACGCGGAGTTCTTGGTGCTGGCTAGAAGCATTTTCTCCTTCAGCCCTCAACGACCTCCACCCACAACAGCTGCCGCAATCTCTGGGCCACTGGCTAAGCAGTCTGCAACAGCTGTCCCCAGGTAGCCAGTAGCACATTGCCACTGACCATTCACCTGTGCAGCAAGAGGCGTGACTGTGGTCCAAGTTTTGGTCACACATACTACCCTTACATGAAGCCATCGCAGTGGTCTTCTGCAGAGGACGGAGAATGTTGGGACAATTTTTGCTTGTTGCATTGCAGGAAGGCCTCCCTGCACATATCATCCTGTAGCCTCTGAAACAGTGGCCTTCTCATAGCCTGCAGGCACAGGTGACGGCTCCGGGCAGGCCTTCGTGCCTGAGTCCAAGCGGAAGCCCTTTGCTAAGGTTGGAGGCAATCTGTTAGTACGAGTCGAGCTTGTTCACGTTCACATGTTGCAGGCTCTGAGCATTTAGGGTGCAATCTGCTGCGACTGGGCTAAAGGCAGTTCAGGTCCAAGGGGAGGTCAATCTGCTTCTCAGGATCTGTGTTTTCCTCACTGGAGGGTCAGGCATCTCAAGTTACCCATATGCTGCTAGCCATCACAACACAGGAACAAAGAGAATCCTATGCCGGTGCCATGAGCGAACTTTCCACGTAAGGGTGGCGCTCTTGGGCAAGTGGCCAGCCCAGTGCCGGTGCCGACGTAAAAGGGTGCTCGGCAGGAGACCTGCTACCAGTAGCACCAGTACTACCAACACGCATTAGAGGACCAACACAAAACAGTAAAGCGTCGAAAGCCAGAGCCTCGCATCCAGAGCCCGGCTCGAAGTAGTCCGGGCAGTTGGAGACGTCGTAACCTCGGCAAGGTCTTACAGCAGGAACCCTGACACTTTAAGGCCGCTGAAATTGAAGCTCGCGACGGCATGTATCGATCATCCGCTCATCGATGCCACTGCAGTTGATGATGGGCAGGCAACCCTCGAAGAGAGGCTCAAGCAAGCACCTGACATCTAAAGATCTGGATGTTGGAGGACACTTGCAAGCTTTGGCCAAAGGCCCTTGATCCAATCTAAGGCTTGGACGGGGCTTGTGGATCTGAGGTATTGGACATGACCTAAACATGCCAAAAGCAATTATGCATGCCTGTGAAAAAAGTTTGTCTAATACCTGGCCAGTCGACACAATTGCGCTTGATGCGCGGCGCAGCGGAGTATTCCTCATCGCACCTAAGACTTTCGAGCAATTTCTCTGCAAGTTGCTCCACCTACGATTAGTAAGGCATGGACGCGTAATTTGCCTCCGCTTCCCCGCCTTCCGTTCCAGTCCTTTGCAGGATCTGATCACGTTTGCGAGAAATGGACACAAACATCAAAACGGTAAAAACCAACTGGCACTGGTTTTGTAAGCACGTGGGCTCGCATGTCCTGATATAGCCGGGTGGTAAGGGCTGTGGATCTGGACAGAAAGTCGGAATCTCGCAAGCTGGGAAGCGAAACGGCCTTGCAAAACAAAGCCGCTTGAAATAGTCATGACTTGGGAGCCGCGGGCGCGAAGATCTAGTCTGAGCCCAGCACCGATATTCCATTTGTCCAGTCATAGAGTTAAACTCCGCTGTCTGACCAAGCAAAGAGTGCACATTCGGCTACATGTCTGGAAGATGAACTTGTTTTGCATCGAGCATGTAAGCCATGGCCAAAGTCTTGGAGCCTTCATTTATATTCTTTTATCCTGGGGATTTTAGATCCAGGTTCGGGGACTAGGAAAGTAATTTAGGCCACCCACTACGCCCTCGCAGGCGGGACGATTCCGGGGGTGGGGGACGGCGAGAGCTGCCGTGCAGGCAACGAAACCTGTTTGCGGCATTTTGTGGGCAACGTCAGCATGAAGCAACGCCAACATTCGGAGGCCATCACTCTTTGACCACACATGCTTCAGTGGGATGGCCCCATTTCTGAATCTCGACAACCTTTGGCGAGGCGGTCTCGCGTTAGCGGTTAAACATGGTTAAATTGGAGAGTGGAACGTTACAGGGCCCCCATGTTCGCGGTGTTTTTGGTTGTTTTGAGACGTTTTAGGTGCAAACTTGGGATGAAGATCTGGGGCCATGTCGGTCATGAATTACCTCCATTCCCTTGGCAGCAAGAGTGAGGAGGACTTTCCTTTGCATGTTGCATACACAGAGTGAGGAGGATTCTTCTGCTGGAAGAGGAGTAGGAAGGGATTTTTTCAAGTCCTCACAGAGAACAACAGGGAATACCCTCCTGGGCTCTTTCCACAAGAAGTGCGGGAGGAGATTCCAACATTTGCTCGAAAGAGAAGCTGGGGAGGACTCGGAATGGAGGGAATTCTCCTCCACTCTTT